TATACCTCTGCATATTTATTTAGAAAGTTTTCTCTGAAGAATCAGTCAGATTACTAAAGAGGAGGATTTAAAAGCTTTGATAATTGATTTCTAAAATGTGAGTGTATTAAAGCTTTGAGTATAAAGTGTTTATATACAATCTGGTAGAATTTGAAACTGGTTATTATGAATTCTGTATCAATTTATGCAAACCGTTTAAGTGATGCCCGGATTGTTATCCGGACAAATAAACCGTTCAAGTATCAACAGGGTTTATCTTAAACCGTGTAAGAGGTGACCGATTTATTTCTAAACCGCCCAAGAGGTGACCGGATATTGTTTAAACCGATCAAGGGTTGTGCGGTATATTGACCGGATTACTTTAAACCGGACAAAGGTTGGGTAATGTATCGTCCGGTTTATTTTAAACCGGTTAACATTATAAGTGAAGTATTGTCCGGATTTGTAATCCGAACAAAAATGTTAACTAAATTTCAATTGTTAAGGTTGACCGGACTTGTTATTCGGACAAGGTTGACCGGACTTCAAGTCCGGATAAAGAGATAGAAAGTTTTTGAAATGTTTTTGAGATAAAATGGCGGTGTAACCGCGAGAGAGATGTAATGGCGGTGTAACCGCGAGAGAGATGTAATGACGGTGTAACCGAGAGAGAGATGTAATGGCGGTGTAACCGCGAGAGAGATGAAATGGCGGTGTAACCGCGAGTGAGAAACATAAATATGTTTATGTTTCAGAACAGGTTTGATTCTAAACTGATTATTTGGAATGTATATTGTTTGTATGAGATTTATACACTCACTAGACCTTTTGGTCTAACGCTCAATTGTTGGACTAACCTGTTTTGCAGGTCAGCATACTTTGCAAGATAAGGGCAAAGGAAAAGTATAAACGATGTTAATAATTTGTTCATATATGTATTAAAGATACATTTTGTTAGTCCATGTTTTGTAATAATACTGTTTTTAGTATTATGAGTATGTTAATGTGAATTATATGTATATGGGATTATGAGGGTTGTTACATTGCGCTTTTTTTATTCCAAAATTGCCTTGTGGTATGCTCGGTTTTGGTCCCTCCCACTAATAACCTCAAAGGAAAGCAAAATGACTGACCAACTTTGAGAAAAAGTAATCGATCTTTTGGGATTGATGGACGGCGTATACAAGATGATGTTCTAAGCTCATTTAAGGCTGTTTAGTTGATTTTCCATTAAGTCGTGTATGGGTAAAGTTGTTTGTATGGATTGATCTATTTGTATAGATTGGGAAGATTTTTGTTTATGAGTGGTTTTTTCATAGATGAGAAGAGCATCTTATATATATATATATATATATATATATATATATATATATATATATGCGCAAAATTTGGAGTTGCTTAAGTGGCACAATGAGAAGCGTAAATTCACTTTTTTTCTAATTTCTCATAATTTTGAATTTCTTTTAAATAAAAAGCTTTTCATCAAATGAGTTTTAACTTTTCATTTAACCTCTCATATTTTTTATCATTTTGTATTATTTTTCTTTATACAATATAAATACATCAACAAATATGATTTATATTTGCCTTACATTTTTAATTAAATCAAACATTTTATTTAATGAATCCAATATTAATAAAGATTATAATTCTATAAATTTATATATATAAGCATGGAGTTGTTTAAGTGACACAATGTTGAAAAAGTATTCTACAAAACCTTTTATTCTTAAATTTTTAGATTTACTTAATGACTTTATAATGTGATTTATTTATTTTGTTAGATCTCATTTATTAAGTCATGAATGTTTCAGACTTTTTGGTTTTCATTGGTTTTATGTTTATATTTTTTAAACCTTTATTTGATGGTAAGCTACAATGAAATGCTCCATCAAAATGGATTTAACAACTTTTAGTTCTATCTTATGTTTGAATGAGTTAATATGGTTTTTTATTGTTTCACTTTTGTAGAATTTCTTTTTCATCGGTATCGACGTTCTTCCTCCATAAATTGAGATAACACCTTTTACGCTTTTGTAAATTATTGTTGTTGACGTGTGTATGTGTGTGTTTCTTCTCGATCAGTACCATTGCTTTTCTCCATCAAAAAATTTCCAAATAATTTATATGCTTTTTGTGTATAAGTTTTTAGTTTTTCAAGTTTTTATTTTTTATTTTTTATGTTGAATTTATTCGGAATTGTTACCTTTGTTTTTTCTTCTCATACATATTGATATTTATGTCAGTACCATAGTGGTTCTTTTTCCATCAAAATATTTTAAATGATTTTTATGGTTTGCAAGTACTATATATATGATTGTTAATAAGTTTTCGGTTTTTTATTTGGAAGTTTTTCGCAGTTATTATTTTTATTCTTCATATTTCATAATTTTCAATTAGTATTTATGTCGTGCGTGTTTTATGTGACGTTTGTTTACCCAATTTTGTTTTGATCCTATTGTTGTAGTTTCTTAAAATTTATATTTTATTTTCTCATGACAACTATCAAACTCCAAATTGTGATTTATCTGGGATTTTTAACTTTTTATTTTTGTTGAAATTCTCTTCTCTATCTTTTATGTTTTTATAGTTTTTTAATCTTGTAATTTTATTATATATATATATATATATATATATATATAGGGGCCTAATCAAATGAGAACTAATTAGTTTGTGGTAACCGTGAGGTCTAATCTCAACCACAAATCAATAGATAAATTAGGAAATGTATAATTTTGGTAATTTTTAATTAAAATTTTAATGCAAGGGCATTTTAGGTATTTTCTCTCCTCTCTCCTATCTCCTCTCTTCTCTCCCCGGCCTCCGGGCACCGTCCTTCGGTGATACCACAGTGGTATAACAATGCATCTTATATGTGATTGGGTATCACACTGTGGTCGTTTGTGCGGTCGATTGGATATGTAACACAGTGGTATCACAATGTATCTTATATGTGCTTGAGTATCATACTGTGGTATCACCGGAGGACGGTGGCTAGAGGCCGGAGGACAGTGGCCAGAAGACGGGGACGGAGAGAGAAGAGAGGAGAGAGAAGATAAAATATCTAAAATGTCCTTGCATTAAAATTTTAATTAAAAATTACCAAAATTAAAAATTTCCTAATTTATCTATTGATTTGTGGTTGAGATTGGATCTCACGTTTACCACAAAGTAGTCAGTTCTCCCTTGAATGGACCCATATATATACATATATATATATATATATATATA